CAAACTTTCGAATGAACAAATGATGATTAAAGAAATAACCCGGTCTGTTAGCCCACCAAACCAGAACCCGCCTCATTTAACCTGATACACTTGTCTCACGAGTCACAATCCGGTGTAATTTCACTGAAATCACTATTCAGTCTGAGACCGAAGGCCCATTAGTGGGGAGCTCGGTCCGGCTCGGTAATTCAAAACAATAATCAGCCCGATCCGACCTAGTTAACAGGCTTAATCTAACATACATCGTCACTCAATCTTGTACACTACCACCTTACAAATCTTAATTGGAATGAAATATTCTATGCATATCTTGGTTTTCTTACTCTAAAGTGACTAGTGGACCATTTTGACTAAAGTGATAGAAAAAAGGGGACCCAAAAAAGTACTGGTCAACATGTCATATTCTAAGAGCTCGTTTGCTACGTGAGATACAAATAATAATTTTGAAATAATATTTGAGAATAATTTTATTTGATATTTAACTTAATTATTAGCTAATCTCGAAATTATTTTATTCATTATTTATATTAAAATAGTGAAATTATTGTCCCATATAGAAGATGCAATAAAATAAACTCATGAGATATTTAAACTCCCATGAGTTGGTTATTTTGTAAGAGACTTTTTTTCTTCCTCTGAGGTTAAAATTTTGGTTCACACATTGTCGTTAAAAATGTAATGAAGTGATAAGTACTCAATTCATTTTTAATAAGAGGTTTTAGATTCAAGTTCTAGATATATAATAGGCATGGACCCACCTTTGATTAAAAAAAAAGCCGTATCCTTCAAAGTGAGACTTCACGATGTAAATATGAATTAAGTTCTAAAATGAATATTGAACACTAAATGAGAAATTAAAAAAGAAGAAGAAAAAACTCAAAATTTTCATAATTTCACTTTATCATTTATAAAAAGATATTTTGATAAAAGAATAACAACAATAATAACATATTCAATAAAATCTTATAAATAAAATTTACGGAGAATAAAATATACACAAATCTTATCAGTACCTCACGAAGATTAAGAGTGACATTAGGCATGAATTTTGGTGGGCTGACTAGTTGGTCCTAGTAGATGCCATTAAGTGTGCAACCTCTTTGAAGACCATCATTTAAGACCTAATTAAAATTTATTAATTTTTATAAATTTAATCGTTTCAAAATCAACTTCAGACTTACGTGTCTTAAACTTAAAAATCGTATGAATATGAAGTTAATTAAGGTGATTTGTCTTTTTATTTCTTTCTAAGTTTATGAAGTGAATTTAATATTAAGCTTCAAATACTAAAATGTTAGTAAAAAAATAAAATAAAAATTATTTTTATATAGAATAAGGTGATAGATATAGAAAACAATAAAGTGGCAACACTTACGTATATGACACTGCCACAACTTATAAATTAATTAACCTAAGGTGAATCAGTTATTTGTCACATGATTTATTTGTATCATATGCTTTTATATTTTGAGATCTGTTTGTTCAAAAAGAGAAAGAAATTTGCTAAATTTTTTTTACTATATAAGCCTAATTGAGTATGTTAAATATTGTATGGTATAAAATTTCATGTCAACCAATTTTAATGAAAATAATTAGTTGAGTGATTTTCTATGAAAATAATTCTTAGTTGAGTGATTTTCTGTGAATTCTTTTTAGTTGAGTGACCATTTAAGATATTAATTCTTTTACATGCGAGATACGAGAATTCTTTATTTTGTTACATCATCAAGAGATAATGATCCATTAACCTGCTAATTCATTCTTTTTACGTGGCACAAACATATGAATTTATATAAAAGGACTAAGAATTGATAAAACTACGTGACAATCTTATTATGGAGTACGTCGATAAATTATATGCCCTTTAGTTGAATCATAAGTACCTGACACTCAGGACAATCGATTATATGACGGCTCTCGTCAATCTTACAAAGGGTATTTGCTGTGTGTGTCATTGATCAAAAGGCAAGTGATTATTTTAATATTTTTTGGCCAAACTCCAGACCATAGGTTATTTAATTTTAGCATGTATAAGATGTCCCTCACACCCTATAGGCCTTTACTCTTGTGTTGTCTTTTACCTACCCTACTTAAAAACATAGTGTAGCTTTAGATGTTTTCAAGAAAAAAAGAAGTTATTTGCATCATCAGGTGAACTTATCAGCACTCGGTATTTATATCAAACTAACAAATTCAAGACGTCTTTCATCTATACATTTATCACTTAACCATGTATTCGATCATACTTAAAAAAAAAATTAATAACGATAAACACTCTATGTAAAATAAATATCGACCAATAATAAAAAGAACAAAAAGAAGTATGCATAGAGATGAAGAAGAAATCATCCACACATGACTAGTAAATGGAGTAGTTGTTTTTTTTTCCTTTTCCAATTCCATGACAATAATCTTTCACATTTCTAGAAAACAATAGCTTTGTTCACATCATTAATCATGTTTATGACATAACCATACTCCATACATGTGTTAGACACAACTTGCACACGCTTCGACTATTCTACAGGATACATATAATCACCTCAATCACAAGTACTGAATAACTCTATCCACCTAGTCTTGACGAGAGGGGAATTAATCACCTAGCGCACCTTTTTGTCTATTGTTAGGCCACACCTCTAGTTTGCCAAATTTCAAGACTAGTATATATACAACATCATGAGTTAGAAGTGTCGTTGCATCTAAACAAACCATTTGTATTCATTTAACTAAAAATGTCTGCTTCAAGACTTGTTTCACTTTCAAGAAAGATTATTAAACCTTCTTCTCCAACTCCACTTTCACATAGAATTCACAAGCTCTCACTTATGGATCAAATGGGGACTCACTCCTACATGGCAGCTTTGTTATTCTACCCGAAACAGAACACCACGACAAGCATGCCAGAACCAACGAAGATATCCCAAGTTCTTGAAAAATCCCTTTCCAAAGTCCTAACGTCATACTATCCGTTTGCTGGACAAGTAAGAGACAACTCCTTTGTCGAATGTAATGACATAGGAGCCGATCTATCCATAGTCCGAATTGATTGTCCAATGTGTAGTATCTTTGATCACCCTCGTACTTACATCGATAATCTAGTACTTCCTTTTGATCCATGGTTCCCATCAATGGACAGTTTAGTCGCAGCTAAACTTTGTCATTTTGAATGTGGTGGCGTAGCGCTTGGTGTATGCCTTTCACACAAGGTTAGTGATGGTTGCAGTTTAGGTAAATTCTTAAGGGACTGGTCTATGGTAGCGCGCGATTCAGAAGCAAAATTATCTCCTCTGTTTAATGGATCATCAATATTTAAACCATCAAATTCTTCATCATTTCAAGTAGTTGCTGATCCTCCTTTATACAAAAATGAATCAAAAAGGTTTCATTTTTCAGCCTCCAAGTTAAAATCTCTCAAGTCCTTAACTGATTCCACAACTCAAATCCGTCCTACGACAGTTGAAGCAATCACTGCATTCCTATACAGATGTGTCAATACAACACCATCCTTACTGATACAAGCAGTAGATCAACGCGGAACAAGTAATGATGCACTAGTTCCAGCAGACTTAACCGGGAATGCTATTCTTCCTTTCGTTGTATCAGCAACGAATAAGGAAGAGATGAATTGGGAAAGACTAGTTAGTGAGCTTAGAAAAGGTAAAGAGAAGATTCAAGATATGCTCAAATACATTGAATCAGAAGAGTATCTATGTTCAAAGGTATCTGATATAGCTAGAGAACTAAACGAACGGACCTCAAACAACGATATTCCTATGTATAGATTTAGTAGTTTAAGGAGATTCCCATCAAATGACATGAATTTTGGATGGGGGAGGCCAAGACAAGTTGATATTTCTACTTTACCAATCAATATGTTCATCTTGATGGATAACCAAAATGGGGACGGAGTTGAAGTGATCGTAAGCTTGGAAGACGGAGAGTTGTCTGCATTAGAAAGAAATGATGAGTTTCTTCAGTTTGCTTCTCCATGCTTAGGATTCTAAGACGCGAAGGAGGCAAACGCGATACCTTTAAACCCCTCAAATACGATAACAACACGAGTGATTTGTGATCCTAAAATAAGTAGAACAAAAAGAGTTCTTGTAATGAATAGTGTGTCTTTTAGATTGATTTCTATTGAAGTATTGCCAGAGTTCTTTATCTGTGATCTTTCTTCTGTTTTGTTTATGTCTCTCGATTTACGTTAGCTTCATTCGTCAAACCTCTCTATAACAATAATCCTTTATAACTACTACATTTTACTATAACATCCATGTTTTCTGTGATATCGTTCTTTCATGTTATGGTGTGTATCAAACGTTCTCTATACTAACATTTCACTATAGCAACAAAAAAGAGAGAAATCGGAAACAAATGAGTGTCGTTATAGAGAGATTTGACTCGATCTTTGCCTATCTTGGCAAGCTTTTCATCCTTGTACTATTTCCTCATTTCTGTTTCTTACTAACTTTATTTCCTTCTTTATGATAGTGTAGCATTTCAAAGTGAACAAAACGCTCTAACTTGTCATCAAACTTTTAGAAATGACTCAGCCATGCAATCCGTTAATAGTTGACCATATTTATGCCGTTGTCGTGACTAGAAGTGCACATTGGTATCACTCTTCACTAACAACTCAAATAACCAGTTTTGAAAAACCAAAATCTACACGTGCCCTAAAATTAAACTCACGTTATTTTAACTCATACCAACTAATTAAATTAACCCCACACCTTTCACTAGTGACAAAGCGATGGGTACATGATTTTCACCAATTAAATTCATTATCAACTATATATAAACAAAAAAAAAAGAATTTAACCTCAAATTAACATCATGATTTTTATCACCCCATACGCTTCCATATCTACTTTCGACTAATTTAGTCCGCGAACCGAACGACTAGAGTCTTAGACCTAAGGGGTATTTTAGTCATTTTCTCATACTGCACCAAAAAATCTCCCCCCTATCTTAATAAAGTCCTTCTAGTTTAGATTTTCATCTTTGGATTTGGTTTTTGAGTGTTTCTTGAAAACCTTATCTCTTCAACACTCTCTCTAATTCTTCCTTCCTTCCTATCCATAAACCCTAGCAAAAACCCTAGCAAAAACATGGCTTTTCTCCCTTGTCCATTGAGATATAGCAAAATTAACAGTCTTTTTCTACTGAGAAAGTCTTCATCTTCACTAACATCAAAAAGGGTGTCCATTAATTCCATTTCCCATATCTTCAGTGACAAATTTAGTCCCAGAAATGCCCTCCCAGTACCTCAAGTTCACAGCTTTACCACTTCTTTAACTATATCAGCACCACCAATGAACTGGGTTGATGGTAAATTTGGGTATAGTGTTAAGGGGTTTCATGGGGGTGGTTGTTGTTTGCAGGCTGCGACGGCGACGGCAATGGCGATGGTGGATTTAGAAGAGGATTGTGAAGAAGGGCTTGAGATTTCGAAACTTGGGATTTCTGAGGAAATTGTTTCTGCTTTGGCACAAAGGGGAATTACTAGTCTTTTTCCAATTCAGGTGTTTTAAACTGTTATAGTTTTTATTTTTGAAAAAAGACTGCATTTTTAGGTACTTATTTTGCTATATTTGTGTATAGAAAGAGTAATTTAGACTTGGAGGCTCTCTGCATATATGTGATTTCCATCTGAGAAAAAGAAAAGCATTTTGGCTCTTATTTTTATGTATAAATTGTGTGTTTGAAAGAAAAATTGTAATTTAAGCTTGAAGGAGGTTCTCTGTAGTGCCTTGTTTTGCTATCAGACCATACTAATAGTTGTAGTATTGCTCTTGTAATTTCTTTTACTACGTGCTAGCTCTTGTATTTTCGATTATCGTATTATTTTTTTGTGTTACTATCTATTGTTTTAGTTACTATCTTACTTTTCTGTGCTGCTTTGGACTACTTTTTGTTTTGGACTACTTTTTGTTGGGCGTATCTATCAGAAATGACCTCACTACCTCTGAGGCAGGGATAAGCTCCGTGGATACACTCTACCCTTCCTAGACTTCACACTTTGTGTGACTATATTGGGTATGTCGTTGTTGTTGAGCGCCTTTCCAAATTTGGAATCCAATTCCAAGTTGGATTATCTTATAACCAAATACTAATTTTGAAATAAAGTGAATAATTCTCATGGCCAAACAACCCCCTGTAAAGAACATTGAGGTGTGTCAGGTGTGGAAGATCCTTTCTTACTTATTTTTGTCGATGTCGATTGTTTTGGGTGAGCTTTCTTTTTTGTGTTTTGGTCTTATATGCTGCGATTAATATGTTGTTTTCAGCCTCCCCCAAATAAAGAAAGAGAGGTCTAAATCTTCGTTCTTCTAATAGACATATTTTCATTTGGTTTTAGTTTTGGTTTCTGATCAAAACTGAAAGTCTATGAAAAAGTTTCTGATTCAAGATGGATTCTTTTCTTTTGGGTTGTATCAGAGAGCTGTTTTGGAACCAGCAATGCAGGGGTCAGACATGATTGGCCGAGCTAGAACTGGAACTGGAAAGACACTAGCTTTTGGCATTCCTATCATGGATAAGATCATTCGCTTCAACAGAAAAAAGGGGTTTGTTCACTCTGTTTTCTTTGTGGGGTTTATTTAATAATAGGTCTATATGGTAGCAACATTCAGTTTCAAAAGAAAAAGATATGTTAGCAACATAAAATATCATCTTGTCTTAAGCTTGTCAAAGGGTTATTGAGAGAAAATGATCAAAATGGTCCCATATCTTTGGTAGTAGAGTCAAAATAGTTCCTTAAGTAATAACTGCGGGGTTTTGATCCTTTTAAGACAACCAGAAGTGAGCACTTTTGGTCTCGGTCAAATATTTACCAAATTTTGATTGTTAAATTTCATCAGAACTGTGAATTATCTTTTTTAACCAGAAACACCAGAAAGTTCCGTCAAAATTTCAAAAATCTCAACATAAAAACCTACACCAGACACAAAAATTGCACCAAACTCTTGAAATAGACAAAATACAACATAGACTACAAAATTTGTACTTCTAAATGTGAGTTCCCGTTAAATATTTTCTACTTTCATTGTTTCAATAAAATTTAACAATTAGAGTTTGGTTAATATCCAACAAAGACAAAAAATGCTCTCTTTGGGCAAACTTGAAGGATCAAAATTGTTTAAGTGATACTTAAAGGACTATCTAAAACTTACTACCAAAAATAAGGGACCATTTTTGTCATTTTCTCGAGTTATTGATGACTCTCTGTTGATAATGTTAAATTCGTTATAACTGAATTATTTTTTTGGTTATTTTAAACTATACAGACGGGGAAGAAACCCTTTAGCATTGATCTTGGCTCCCACTAGAGAACTTGCACGCCAGGTGGACAAGGAATTTTATGAGTCTGCTCCTGTTTTGGATACGCTGTGTGTTTATGGTGGGGTACCCATTTCACGCCAAATGAGTACTCTTGACAGGGGAACTGACATTGTTGTTGGGACACCTGGTCGTATCATTGATTTGCTGAAGAGAGGGTCATTAAATTTGTCGGATATCCAGTTTGTTGTTCTAGATGAAGCTGATCAGATGCTTAATGTGGGATTCGCAGAGGATGTTGAAACCATTCTAGAAAATATTAGGCAGAAACATCAGACAATGATGTTTTCAGCCACGATGCCAAGTTGGATATTGAAACTTACCAAGAAGTTCTTGAAGAAACCAATTCACGTTGATCTTGTGAGGCCACTATTCTAAATTACTGTCTTATTTTTGTTGAGTACCCTAGAAGTTTTCTATGCTCAATGATTATGTGTAAATGTGTGTGCAGGTAGGAGATTCTGACCAGAAATTAGCTGATGGCATTTCTTTGTATTCAATTGCTTGTGAGATGCGTCAGAAACCAGCAGTTCTTGGACCCTTAATATCGGTATGAATCTATAGCCTGATAGCTTGTTTGGCCAAGCTTCTCAAGGCCCAATACGCTGTACTTTTTTTACCCCTAAGTTGGGGGTGTTTGGCCAAGCTTTAGCAGTTTCTTAGAAACTGAAAAAAGTAGCTTCTACCCAAAAGTACTTATTTGAAGAGTATGCACTTTTGTCATAAAAAAAAGAAGAGCATGCACTTTTGAAAAAATACACTTAGCGGTCTCTTGGTTCGAAGACAAGTTATTCTAGGATTAGTTATGCCGACATTATTTCTTATCGACTGTTTGGTTTGTTGTATTAAAAATAACATGCATTGCATAATTGCATAAATAGTACTGAATAGGGGTGCATCAGTATCAGAATTGTACTGGTATTGTTAATGTCATGGTTTACTTTGTACAAGAATAGTACTGAATTGGTGTATAGGTAATACTGATATCATTTGTATTAGACTTAAATTTGCAACCAAACATTGTACTAAAACTTTATACCAACATTTGATCTACCTAATACACCCTACCCAACAACCCCATAGAAACATTTTTTAAAAGCTTAGACAAACACCAATTGCTGCTCAAAAGTGCTTTGTAAATTGATTAGTCAAAAACAAATTGTTTCTCACTAGAAGTGCTCTCCAAAATAAGTTGATTTTTGAAGCTTGGCCAAACATGCTATAAGCCTCTTTTCAGTTCTATTTCTTGTCTATCCTATTGATCCAGTGTCATATATGTTGCCTCCCACCATAAGGATTAAAATGACTTCTTGTTCTTTTTCCCCCAAAAAATTCAAGTCTGAGCATATATTTATTCTTCAGGAGCATGCAAAAGGAGGCAAGTGTATTGTCTTCACTCAAACAAAGCGTGATGCTGATAGGTTGGCGGGTGCAATGCAAAGAACTTTGAGGTGTGAAGCTTTGCATGGAGATATCTCACAAAGCCAGAGGGAGAGAACTCTATCTGGTTTCCGACAAGGTCAATTTAATGTATTGGTGGCCACCGATGTTGCTGCCCGAGGACTTGATGTACCTAATGTTGATCTGGTTCGTCTTTCATGCTTAATTTGCCTAATTATTTAACCATGTTTTAAGTATTTCTTGTTCCTTGTCTTCCCTTCTCTTTCCACTTCATGAAAAGAAAAACTGGGGAGGGAAGATAAGCCTATAAATCCGTATTAGGTACTAAGAAAGAGTAATGGATACATCCGTCACCTAGGTAGGAGTTACTATAACATAGACTTGCATGCTTATGGAATCTTAGAAAGTGTAGGACACAAAATTTTAAAGAAATTATGATAAACATATAAGTAGTGCCATATAGATTCTTGGGAATTTTAGGATTATCTGGAGAGCATTGTATATCGAAACGAATTTCACACCAATTATAGGGTCATTTCTGAACACCCTTTCAGAAACAAACAAACCCTTTTCAGGATAAGTAAATATTTTATCAGTAAGAGAAATGTGCACCAAGAGCGCACTAAAATGGCTTTACAATAGCTGCATGTCTAGTGAGCTTTAAAGGCTGGACAAGGAAGGAAGCAGTTCCTATTCTCCATTCTTAATCGGGTGATTATTCAATAACTATAAGAAAAAAATGTCTTTTATGCAGTTATCCATAAAAGAACGAGAAGAAATGTGTTTATGCTTGAAATTTTAGAGTCTTCTTTAATTGCAGTTTGCTTTTTCTTCTTTTGCTATCTGAAGTTAAAGTAGAGATATTGGTGCTCAGGTGATACATTACGAACTTCCGAACAATTCAGAGATCTTTGTTCATCGATCTGGTCGAACTGGACGTGCTGGTAAGAAAGGAAGTGCCATTCTCATGCATTCCTCAAAACAGCATAGGGATGTAAAAGGTATTGAACATGATGCCGGATGCAGATTTACTGAGGTAAGGATGCTTATACCTTACTTGCAGTTTTACTTTTTTAATCCTCACTTGGATTTGTTGTCATTTTCACATATGGAGATAGGGAGAATGCAATAGATGCATGTTGCTATGCTCGTGTCTGGTAATCACATAATGTCTATTTCTAGGGTGTTGTTTGGTTTGAGGTATAAGCCAAGATAAACTTGGTATGCAAATCGGTACTCCCTCTGTCCCTAATTACTTGTCCACTTTTCCTTTTATAGTTGTCCCTAATTACTTGTCCATTTTGACAAATCAAGAAAGGACAAAAAAAATTTCCTATTATACCCTCAATTAATTACTTTGAAAAAGGTAGAACTTTCTGAAAATATTAAATTTTTAATTCATCCACTTCATAATTAATAGGGGTAAAATGGTAAACTCATTATGTCAATAATTGTTTTCTTAATAGGTGTGTCAATTCAAAAGTGGACAAGTACTCACAGAGGGAGTATTACTTTATACCATGTTTGGTTTCCGGTTTTTTTTTTTTTTTTTTTTGGTTAATTGGTTTCCGGTTTTAAAATCCATATTCCACCTTCTATCCCATATAAGATAATATATAAATTCCCGTATAATTTAATCCCATATTAGTTACACCGTGTTTGGTTTCTGGTATTATAATCTGCATAAGTTGTGACAATCTTTGGTATTTCTAATTTTCTTGAATTGCTGAAGTCGAACACGAGCCTGTTGCCGTATCTTGAACTGAAACTCATTTGGGTTTTGGGCTGACATATTTTTCAGTTCCTCAATACTCACGTCTAATAGTTCTTTATGGTTGATCTCCTAATTTCAAATCTTAAATATGGAAAATTCGCTAGCTGGTGGTGACCGGACTTCTCTCCTTTATGATGCTGACAGTTTTTCCCTGTTCTTTCTTGCCATGCTACTCTGATATACAGAATTGTTCTCTCATCAAATTATCTTTTCTGCATGTACTTGCTGAAAAAAGCTCCCAACAATTAAAGTAGAGGCTGGAGCAGCAGAAATGTATAGTGAAATGGGAAAAGATGTTGGCCGCCTTGGCTCCTCTGGAGGAGGCACCATGCGTAGTCGATCTAGTGATTTTGGTGGAGGTCGTTCTGGTGGCTATGGAGGTGGAGGTC